CCCGAACTTTTTGAAACGTTCCTACGCCTATGGGTAATATCACGTCTTTCCTAAGGCATGAAGAGACAACATAATACTTACGCTCCCAAAACCAGGGAAAGACTCCAAAGACCCATCACACTATTGCCCCATTGCACTTGCTAACTGTCTAGGCAAGCTTTTTGAACCCACGATGGTGAAGCGGATCTCTTGGACCGTAGAACGAGACTGCCTGCCTTCAAACATTAATGTGGTCTTCGACAAAATCACAGCACGATAGACCACATCATTCGACTCGGAACTGACATTAAACATTCCTTTAAACATCGAGATCACACGACTGCTGTTTTCTTAAACATAAGCTGAGCCTGTAATATGGTCTTTAAACCTGCATTTATTTTCAAAATCCATCAATAAGGGTGTAAAGGTCGTTTAGCACGTAACCTCATTGGATTTCTTTCTCGCATCAGACCATTTCGTGCGGGATGCGGCTCCGCCGCTTCTGACACTCACAATCTAGAGAAAAGTCTCCCACAGGGAAGCTATATCTCACCGATTATGTTTAGTTTCATGATAAACGATTCGTTGACTCATTACCACCGAGCAATTCTTCTTCCCACATTTTGCGGACGCAGCGCCATCTGATGCTCGGATGACGAGTATGACCACTCGCGCCACGGCTCCGAGCCGCCCAGAACGAGGTGTAGCAATGGTCAGAGCGTCACGGGTTCAGGTTCTCCGCTCCTAAGTCCGCGGCTATGATTTTCCGCAAAGATATGCGTGGCACTCCTATTTTTCGGCTACGATCAGATGGACATTACATTCCTTTCGCTTCGTCTTTCACATTTCTTCGCATCGTACTTGACCCAAGATTTGTCGGTGTGACAGCGCATGGAGTACGCTCGCTCCAAATGCCTTGAGAGACTAAACTTCTTTAGATGCACTCTCCAGGTCACGGCACAGTGCAGCCAACCAAACGTTGTACTTGCACACTTGGGGCCCACTTGAAGTGGGCCCCAATTTTGCCGCTTCAAGTGGATGCCCACGTCATGCCTCTCGCTCTTCAACGAATGAGACACACATTACAATGTATAACAAAAGTGCGACAAAATCCCAATCACCCAGGAGCGGAACCAGAGGGGGTGGCCACGGGACCATGCCCCCCTTGGGCCCCGAAGGGCCTCGTGGGCTCCAAAGGGGGCTATAGCCGGCCGAGAAATGGGACATTACGGGTACCTACAAATATAATGTGATGAATAATGGTCATAAATACCAGGTTTATGGTTCCTAGGACAAGGCGGAGGCAGATCCAGGTGGGTGGGTGGATGGCCACGGGTCCATCCCCCGCGGGGCCTCGAAGGGACTCATAGGCTTCGAGTGGGCCCCATAGTCGACGAACAGATGCAGTTTTTTGACACAAAACGCAAGAGGAATTGGAACATCTTTGGGTTTCCAGGCCACCAAGAACAGTTGCAAGCAAAGTGAAGCGTCACGAGAAGAGAGAAAAAATATTCAACGACTGAAAGAGTTGGTAATTGGAACTTGTAAGCGTTATTACGCTGTTCAGTGGCACTGTGTTGTTTCCGGAGGACCTATATGCCAGCTTGCAGGGTCATCCCGACCGTTAAGGAGCCTTCCACGTTTTCCCTGACTTCTTTGCGTTTGCTCAGAGGGCCCTGCACTGTTGCTGCGCCCTTCCTGCCAGCGTGCCGGGGCGCTCTTGTCAGTCAAGGGCCTTCCACGGATTTTTTTATTCGCCAGAAATGCTCTGTGGGTTATAGTCGGGGCCCATATGTTAACGTGTCGGGCTATTCCCGGTTGCTCGGGGTCCCTTTACGTTGGTCTCAGTTCAGCTACCGAAACACTCGCGACATACTCACGGGCCCTCTGCATTGCTCTAGAGCGTTTACAGTTCTATGTCGCTTGCTTAGGGCTCTACGCTCTTGTCGGGGGCCCCATTTGTTAACCTGCTTATGCACACTCGATCGGTCCGGCCCTCCAAATTGTGTCTTGGGTACTCCCTATTTGAATGGAGGGCGCTGCACACTTGTCAGGGCCCCATCTGTTAACCTGCTCCGGCACACTGGATTGTTTGGGAGCCATGCACATTGGGTGCTTTAGTGTAGGGCCCTACGCTCTTGTCGGGGACATCTGATAGCCTGCTCGGATACACCCGATCTTTCGGGGGCCCTCCACACGGGGTCTTGGGTACATTTTATTTGCATGTTCTTCGCTCTTGTCGGGGGCCTATCTGATAAGGTACTCGGGCACATTTGATCATTCGGGCGCCCTCTCCATGGGGTCTTGGGCACGTCCTACTTGAATGGGGCCCTACGCACTTGTCGGGGCCCGCTTTGTTCACCTCTTCGGCCAAACTGGATTGTTCGGGTGCCCTGTACATTGGATCTTGATGTTTGAATTTAGGGCCCTGCGCTCTTACTGGGGTCATCTGATAACCTGCTCGGGTACACTCCATATTTCGGGGCAAGGTGGGCGGGGGTTGGTTGTCGAACCTTCGGTTCAGCCCCAATAATGTACAAAAATTTACATCTCTGACCATCACGCCACTGTTCTGGGGCCATGCACTCCACTAGCCATCACAATTGTCAACTGCCCAAATGTTCGCATATACGGAAACTACCAAATATTTTGGTATTTGATGTACACTGGCTTACTGACTGCGGAAGACGAGCCATGACGCGACAGCGGCGTATGTCTAGCGCTCAATTTGTAATTGAATCGTCTCAGCGACTTCGTGGATGACGTCGAGCTGGTGGGGCCTGCGTTTGGTCGCGGAAGAGTTTTTGTGAAGGTTGCTGAGAGCTGTTTTCAACTTGGTATTAGAGACTTCAAAAGACACTGAGTGTGTTTTTAGCAAGGTGTTGGAGTGTTACCTTTATATAATTGGATAAATAGGATTTAGACAGGAGTGATAGTTTGTTTATGCGCCCGCGCGCGTGTGCGTGTGTGTATGCGAGTATGTGTGTGTGTGTGTGTGTGTGTGTGTGTGGTCCGTTGTGGAATTGATAGGTCCTATCGACCTATCAAGTTGGCTTGTTGATATGAAGAAAATGAGAGATTCCTTGTCGGGTCATCTGGGAAACCCTGGTTCATACCTAAGAACCAAGCCATAATATGGACAACCACTGAAGTATTTTTCTGTCCATTACTGAACACCACCACCAAAGTTTGGTTGGGCTAAATCAGGCCTTCTGTTGTTTTTTTAGGCTGCCATATTGGTTTTCAACTGAATAACTGTATGAGATTTTTGAACTTTTCAACCTTTCAGTTGTGCTGGGTTTTAGCAATGAATGTTTTCTAGAAAATTGTTAAGATCTTTGGATAGCAATATTAAGACTGAGGACTAACTGGCGGTGGCTCTTTTCTTGAAGACTGCTCTCCTGTGTGCACAATTTCTGTGGCATGTGAGTTTTGAGTTCAGTTAGAGGAGGGTGCGTAGAAGAGTGGCGTGGGAACCATGTCTAGTGGTGACATTGCATTGGGTCAAAAATAAAAATAAAACTATATATGATTCAGCTCAATGTTGCACACTGAGGACAGTATTGTATCAGAATCATTGTTGCTATGTAGGTACAGTGGATATTTACTAACCATGTAGGGGTGGGCAGCTCTATGAGGATGAAATAATTTCTCTGCTTCAGCTGCATTGCCCTTGTGGGTCCCAATCATACAGCAGTCCAGGCATGTAGTTTTGTGCATAAGTTTAGGGAACATAGTGAGCAGAGAAGGTTTTAAACTCAAGTAAATAGTGTAAGCCCTGTTTTGGCCTGAATTTAACCAAATTTCTCTTCAGGGCTGGGGGAGGGAATAGAGTTCCATGCAGCTCAATAGGAAACTATACCCCTGGTCCCAAATTGAATACACCAAGGTCATTAGATGGTTAGGTGGGTGTCACATTGCCTGAGCATCTGCCTGTTGGGTGAGAAAGATTCTGTGTTGGCTGGTAGGTAGCTGCACCAACTACAATGTGCCAGATGTTCCTATTTATATTACAGTAGCTTGCATATTTTAATCATAAGTTTGTCATCATGTGCCCTTGGAAATTATGTAACAGGTGCACAATGTTCCATGCATTTGCTTTGAAGAACTCAGTGGGGCTCATACCTTTAGAATAGAACTGTCAATACAAATAACTTTTCATCTGCTCCACAGCTTTAAAAGGTACTGTAGGTATGAGCACACACTTAGAAATGAAGCACAAAGACAAAACTAAAGCTCAGACTGAAATGTTTCTGAAAGCCATGTTCTTCCAGGGTAATCAACATGATGTGCAGCCAGATGTCGGCATGAACACTTCAAAGGGAACCACACATGCCAATGACCTGCACTTGATTGAAAGTGAGATTGTTGACTGGTTTCAGGAGTTTGGGGTGTCAGGAACCAAAAGGTTCACTAGAAAAACAAGAAGGTCAAAAATGCCTCCACTGTCTTGCTGTGTTTTGACAGACCAACCTGCCCAGGCAAGCTGGAACTAAATTACATGGCATGCCATGTGCATCCCCCATGCTATGATTTGGCATAGAATGCAGAATGTTGGGTCACATAGGAATTAGGTGCCAAAGTGGATGTAATTGTATGACCTGTGGCAACACCTAAGAATAGAGGACCTGTAACCCCCCTTTCTTAAGTCTTGTTTCATGTGAGAAGAGTTTTCAAACTGTGTTTGTGACACTCCCCAGACATTGGTGTGCTGAAGCTCTTATTTAAATTTGTTGACCTCAGGTCAGGTTAAAATGCACTTTGTTTTTACTTCTTTTTGTGCAAGAAAGGTTTGAAGTATGGCTGTGTGAAAGAACTTTTGCAACATATAATGCTCAGCAGTAAAGATTGTGTGTTGAAATTGGTGGTGACTGCACCCCGGGGCGCGGAAACTATGTTCAAGTCCGGAGGGGGGGGGGGGGGGGGGCAAGCTACAAAACATCAAGATGGGCCCCTAAGTTGGTATAGTGGGCCCACTACAAGCCGGAATGGCTCCTATGTCAGAACGGCCCCATAGGGTCAGAATGGGCTTTCTGGAGGACAAAGTAGACTCTTCGCAGTTACGCGCCCGAGTGGCCGGTTGGATATCCTTTGCTCGGGTGGGAACCAATTTGACCCCCTCCCCTCTGAGATCTCTGGGGCTAAGAGGGCTAGAGACACCAGATTCATGGGGTGTGTTGGCCTGTACGTGAACTCACTTAGGTCAAAATTGAAGCCTCCAAGGTCACGCCCTTCGGGTCAAATAAGGTCAGACAATGTCAAACTCCAAGTTGGTCTCTGAAGTGTCCCCAGAACCTAGATACCTCTTCTAAGCAGAAGGTCACATGCTCATTCGAGGTCAGTGACCTTGTTTGATGTTTCGAGGGTCATGGTAACCAAAATCATGGAAGGCTGTTTTGAGTTTTGCATTTGAATATGCAACAAAGAGTAAGCTAGGCAGCATGTTCCTAAAAACGAAATGTTGACTTCGGTCATTTTAGGTCAGTGGCCTACTCTGACCTATAAAAAGCCCACGAAAGATGTCCAATTCAGTTTATGTTATCGATAAATTTGAAATGAGCACCGGAAACTGTATCAGCAAGCCGTGGAGTAATAAAACAGGTTGGTTTTGACATTGGTCTGACCTTCATATCTGACCCTAGGTCAATGGAATTTGGTCTTTCATTTGTTGTGCTGCCAAAGAAAGTATCTTAGAGGTTTATGACTTCGTCGAACACTCCGTTGCTTCCCTTTTAAATTAAACGATTCCCTTGAAATTGACTTAGCTGAATCCATGGCCTGATTTGGGCCTACGGTGGGCCAGCGACCATACAAGGTACATCCAATTTTTTGATACCACACGATCTGCTGTTCAGTTGTCTACAGCTGTGCAAAATCTGACGTGGCTACGCCACGCCGTTCGGAAACAATTACGGAAAAACCTTAGGGAGGTCAATTTGAACCCCAACCGAGCGTATGTTAATAATCGCCCTCTACGAGTTAGAATGGTCCCTCTTCACGTGGAAATTAGACTTCTATGGGCCAGAGCAAGCTCTCATAGGCCTCGGCCTCGATCTGGCACCAATATCCAGAAACCCCATTTGTTTTGACGCCTGCCAAAGCCCACAAGCTGCATCTTCCCAACGTTGACGATCTGTCCTGTGGCACCGAGCCAATCGCATGAAAAGCGCAGTGTCGGCCCCAGTCGCGCCACTGTTGCACTTATGCTACTTCCGACAGGTGACTTTGGGCTGGGTGTCATCGGTGTAGTGCTTCATACTTCACAATTCCGGGCAGCAAGGCCCCAATTTTTTGATACTGCTCAGAAAAGACCCTGACGGTAGCTGCTTTGTTTGCTGTATATTTATTCCCAATGGTTTGCATGGGTGACTTCGGTCTCTGCGCACCCGCTAAGCATAGCGAGTGCGTGCGCCCTGAACGGACCACCCAAGTTGTGTCATCCAGTTGTAAGATAATTTTCAATCAGCCCTTTCGCCAGACAAGCATGTGAAGGGCTATGCGGGACGCGCAATTTCGCGACACGGTAACCTTGGGCCCGGGTTTAATCGTCGTCGGCCAGTTTCATTTGAGCGGGCCGAACAATGCATCCGCTCTGGGACTCGCAGCCGTTACCACTACTGGGTTACGGGTCTAGTTCCATAAGCCACGGAGACGGAAATGCACTTTGCATATAGCCTCAGGGTGTCAGCAGAGCCACCCTAGGTGGCTCTTAAGAGCTAATGTTTCCATTGTCATTTGGGGTGGCCAGTGGCACTAACACATTGCATATTTGTGTGTGTATTTCGAATGTGTTGCATGGTGGCTTCGTCAATAATTAGGTCAATGACACAAAAAAAAATTAAAGTCAGACAATCGGAGAAGTTTCACTTTCCCCGGAACGTCAAGAAGTCGGTCAGTGATATGAATCAGGGCAGGACTTGTTTTTGCGGCGTGGGGGAAACCCGCGGTGAGCATCGGAGAGACGCCGTTCACTCCCAGATAGCATGGGGACCGACCTTGGACAATTCGCCAGTTGGTCTTAGCCGTTACCGGTACCATCGATATTGTAACACAGTATTGGGATATTGGGATATGAGAGGGTGCCCTGCTCGAAAATTCCTTGGGCTGGGGAATGGGTCCATGGAAGTCATTTTTAACCAAGCAGCTGTTGGCGATCGAAGGCATGACTTGATAAATCGCGTCAAAACGGGCCGTAACACACCTGAGGGAAAAACCATCAATTCGCCACGTTGGTTCACCTCGCAACGCGGCACCCGGGATGGACATGGGCGCAGGGAAGCCCAACCGCGAAAACCGCTACCCTAAGCGTGGGATCGCGTGCTTTCTGACAACTTAAACGACTCTCGGGTCCCCTTGCCTCTTGCGAACCGGTGTGGACGCGTCGTGAAGGTGGCCGTTGCTCGGGTCGAGCACATTGCCACGGTCTAGGCAATGACAGGTACAGGCATCCCGAAATATGTGCACAGAGCTGCTCAACTTCCATTCAGGTTACTTGTTCACAAAAGAAGCACAACTTAAAAGTTCGCTTTACTTATTCGCGTACCCCCATCATTCGCCATGAAAATCCTCAGGTTGGACAATAACACATGCGATAAATGACAATGTGGAGTCCATTGCTGCAATCGTCGCCTGGCGTTGCAATCCAAATATGGATAAACTGGTGGTTGGCCAATCATATTTTTTTCTCAAATTGCGCTGTTTGTTATTTTTCAGACCTGTTTACGGACAGCTGCGGGGGTGGTTCGGGGTCACGGGGTCTGTGACCTCCTACCGGTATCGTCATGGCGGGCAGCGACATGAGTGTGGACGACATCTACGAGAGGTGTGAGTGTTTGGCTGACGGTGAAAAAGTTACATGGATCTTATAGGGACGGCTGATGGATTTGGGATGCTTCAGGTCTATTACCGTGTTAGTTTTTAAGCAACCGTTGCGGTTTTGAGAGCATTGGCATGTATTTGAAAACCTTTACCCCAGAAGTGTGTTGTTTCTTACTGTTCCATAGGAAACAGTTTGCTTGTCGTATTAAATCAACTTTATCATTTTGATGGCAAATATTTATAAAATCAACCTGCATAACACAGTGCACAGGCTGCACGAATGTAATTTTTTGTATTATTGTTTGTGGGGGCATGGAGCCTGGAACGTCGGCCAGCACTTCCATAGGGTTTGGAAAATCAGAATGTCACGAAGGGGAGCTATCAGAACGTCCAAGATCGCAGCGTCCAGTGTTCATATCTTCCAAAATCGTACCACCCAGCGTTCATGACATCTAAAATGGTGTTATTTCGTGCCCATTGTCGTAGTTCATAGGACCTAAGCTTGCAACGTCCGAAGTCATAACATCCAATGCTCACAACCTCCAGCGAGCTCGACGTCCAAAGCCATTTCTGATTCATGCCGTTAGATCGCTCCACAGTGGTATACTTCTTTGGAGTCCTGCCGCTATATGGCACAACAATACCACATTTCCTTCTCGCCAACAAATGGCTTAGTCGACCCATTGTTCAACCCATGATCACGTGATAAGTATAGTGGAACATCGTTAGTACGAACCACCTGGAATGCCCGACGGCTGGTGGTCCTACATTCGGTCCCAGCATAGGTTCTTTACCATGAGGGAGCCTAAGCCCCACCATCATCAATTTGATTATAACGCAACCCCGTGTCTACTACGCTCCATGGAAGGGAATTGCCTGGCTAAAATTCGTCGATGTGCTTTCTGACTATGACTCAACGGTGTAACCGTTGGTTCCAAACATTCATTGACACCAGTTGCTGCTCCGTTCCTCTGTGTAGATGAGTAGTAATGGCAGGTACGCATGCGTTTGGTTATGTGGGATACAGTATGCACAATTGGAGACCGGCTTTCCCCACTTGATTGTTATGGCCACACCTGTTTGTTGAGTTAGTAGAATGGGTGGGAAGGGGGGGGGGACGTTCATGCGTGTGTGTCCGCATGCATATAACAATATTTTCACGGCAGACAGGGGAAGCTCGCGGAACTTGCACGAGCGTGCTAGCTAGCTGCGTATCGGTGCGGTCTTGCTCCGCTCCTGCCACTGGCTGAACACATCTGTACCCTCCGATCATACATCATGTTGAAAGAGAATGTCTCACATTTGAACATATTAAAGCAATCATCAGGCATGATGCTACTAGCTCACTGATAACTTGTGGTATATTTTGAGTGGAAAAGACTGTTCTAGACAGCACAATTCACTGTGTAGTAAACATGCTCCTCAATGGGTCGTCGTTTGATCACGTCATAGTGCCCTGCACAACACTGGTTGATAGCCAATTGACGACCGTTATGTCTGGAAATGGCGCTCACAAATGCCAGATATGAATTTTTCTTGGCCTTGATCGCCGCATGGCTCATGGAATGACAGTATGGGAATTTCATGTTGACTTTGAAATACTTTCCCCCCGCACGCCTTTCCCCATTTTCGCGGGCGTATAGCTGAGAATCTAGAGGGACTTAAGTCTTAAGACGGTTAACAGACTTGTTAACCGTCTTAACAGAATTGTTAACAGCACCGTAAGTTCTTCAAGGTGGCTGTTTCAGATCAAAACCCCATATAAACGTGGAACACTCCCGTTAACGATCTTCGCAATGTTGTTGTCAACTGGCTAACCTGCTCTCTGCTGGCGTTGCATTCGAATTTAAGAGGGGTGTTCAACATTTGTGTGAGGTTTTGAGCCGAACTAGGCCTCTTGAAGATCATTCAGTGCAGCTCACAGTCCTTTTCTCCTCAAGATCGAAAACCATCTAGTTTCCAAGCTATGCGCCCGCGAGAATGTGCGCACTATTTCATGCAGACTTTTTCAATGTTACCCAGGTATCCATGATGCCATAATAACGCCATTCAAATTTGGTCATTCTGCTGGTCATGCGGCGCTGGCGGTTAAGACAAGAACGCAGTTGTCGAGTGGTTCTTTTCTGGCGTTCGTGAGCACGATTTCCAAATAATAACGGCCGTCAATTGGCTCCCAATGATTGCTGCGCGAGGCATGATGACGTCACCGATAATGCCACATTAAAGGGAGTGTTCCACACTTATATGGGGTTTTGAACTGAAATAGTCATCTTGAAGACCTTTCGGTGCTGTTTATAATCCTGCCCCTCTTAAGACCAGGCCCCTTTTGGTTTCTGCGCTACACGCCCGCCAAAGTAGGGAAACGCATATCGGGGAGAGCATTTTAAAGTTACCTTGGCATTCATGATATCATAATGACGTCATTCATTTCCTTCCATTCTATAAGCCATGCGGCGGTGAAGGCCAAGAAAAATGTAATTGTCGGGGCGTTCATGTCTAGCATTTGTGGGCGCGATTTTTATATACAGCGGCCGCACATTGCCTCTCAGTGTTGTGCAAGGTACGATAACGTAATCAAGTCATGACGTATTAAGGAGCATATTTACTGAAGAGAGAATTGTGCTGCCTAGAGCAGTCTTTTCCTCGTAGAAAATGTACCAATAGTCATGATAAGTGAGCTTGTTTCACCATGGCTGAGGCTTGCTCCGATATCATCAGATGTGAGACATTTCCTTTAATTTTATTTGTTGCGGAATTGAGACATTGCACTATCTAGAGCAAGCTTTTCTACCTAAAAGTATACCAATAGTTGTAAGTAAGCCCAGTTCATCACATCTGATGCGTGCTTCAATATCGTCACATTTGGAATGTTCGCTTTAAAAGCAAACCAATAGTTACAAGTGAGCTCATTTAATTATATATCATGCTTACTTTAATATCTTCAACTGTGGACTATTCCCTTTCAGTTTTGCTGGAAATAAAATGACTATTGGCAGTCGAACCGTCTACATGGGCTGTCAACACCATAAAAAGCGTGGTAACGGTACACAACATGCAATACAGTGTACTTTGTGATTCGGCATAACTGAACCGTACAGTCAGCCTCGTCATGCATATGCTTGGTTGCGCACAACAGACTATGAGACGCATGATGGGCCATCTGCGCTCTCAATTACCTACCATAAATACATACAAACTTAAGAACTACAGTTAGGGCACGCCCCGCCGCCTCAAGTGGTCATTTTTTTCGTGATTCATCATTTACATTTATGCCTGCGCCCCTGTCTGTCACCTTTTCCGTGTAGGTCTGATTGCGTCCCATTTTGTGTCTACGGCTGCAAATCCCTATTATGTGTTCCACAATGTGTTAGTTCTACATTTTATATACGTGGTGCCTCTTTGCATTTGAACATTTGTAATAAGCACCGCACACTGCGCTCTCTGCTGCCCTTCCCCTTTTTCGTACGGTATCCCGACCTCCATTGCCAAAGGCTTGACAAAACGGCGAAGCGAACTGCGCATATCTAAAATCAATTTTATCACACTCATGTTATCTATGTATACCCGTCTCATCGCTATGCTTTCCTCGGGCTTATGCGAAGTGGTGGTCACTGTCTGGATTACGCAGCTGCAGTCTAGCGCGTGGAAGAATGTGTTTTAATTGGTAGGATGGGGCAAGTTTCTCAGGCATCGGAGCCATCCAACACCGGACCACGGACAGATCACGACTCGTATCGTTGAAGTTGATCTTTAGAGGCGGGCTCAGCGTAAGTTCAAGCAAGGAGCAAGCAGATCTGACATGATCGTCGTCACTCACTGGTTGCAGTCGACTGGCGTTCCGTCTGGTTTTCCGTGCTGTTCCGCCAGGTCGAGTGGTCAAGGTCAAGCCGCCGCGCAGAGGCGCTCCCAGCGAGGTGGCGAGGCCACTATCCCCCTCCCAGTTAGGCTCTCTTCCGCCTGCCCCAACCTCACCCTCTTGCTTTATACTGTTCACTCGCCACACCCGTCTGGAGAGTGATGTACCCCGACACTGAGCCGCGCCAGGGTGCCACTTGTAGCTCCGTCTTCTGTGCTGCTTCTTGTTGGTTGTCTTCATGTTGCTGGTCTTTACATCCGTGTCTTCAGAGTCGTCAGAATATAGATCGATTCCTCATCGCAGAGAACCGTTGTTTGTCCACTGGGATGATTTGCTTATTCGTTTTCTGGTGCCAAACCTGATGTGTATGGTACTGTCGGGGTTGTTGCTCCTTCAGTCTGGATCAGCAGTCGCTCCTTCCTACCTTCCATAGGCTCCAGCTGATCGTAATGGCGGATATCTCGCTGCTGAAAGCCCTGTTCCTTTTCCATCCGGTACGTATTACCTTGTTTACAACTGATGTCAACGAACGGATTGCCCACCGGACCTGAATTTTTTCCGACATTCCCAGCTTCGTCGGTGTCTTCATGAATGCCTTATCTCCCACTTGGTATTGGGTTTCATTTCCACTCTGCTGGATTCTAAACACTCCGTCCTTCTTCTTCTCGTCTCCCCTGGTAGTCGCTTGTTTGTGAGCCCTGGTGAGGTTTTAGGCGATATCTCCTGGCCAACATTTGTTGATAGCGGCGTGGCCAGGCACCAGCAAAAACGAGCGAAATCTTAGTAATTGTTCCAGCTTCCACCAAATCATTGTGTGTTCCTACGCTGCAAAGAACCGATCGTTTCATGAACGCGTTCAACTGCTCCATTTGACTGCGGTTAAAAGGCGCTCACCCGTTCTTTGTCATTCCCCATCGACCTCGCTAATTGCCTGCAGGTCTTCTCTTGCGCCCTGTTGAACCGGAGCTTCTGACACCAATCTCGCAGCGGCTTATCCGCCTGCTGCGCGACTCCTAACTGCTCGACACCCAGCTCCTCCGCAGTGTCAGACGTGACTCGGCAGCGGCGGGGTCCGCCGCAGACTGAGGCGCATGAACATGCGCCCGGCATAGTGCATCGGCCAGATAGTTATTGTCACCTTGTCGGTAATCGGCAATGAGCTGGAATCCCGCCAACCCCTCGATCCATCTGTCATAGCGTCTTTGGGATCCTTGGTATTTCGTAGTCACTGGAGACCGCAATGATCCATAAACCACTGGAATGGTTTACCGAGCGCGTAGGTTGGGAACTTCTGAGAGCGAAAATGAACGCAAAACCTCATTGTCCGGGATGTGCCAATTTTTCTCGCTGTCCGAAAGCATTTTTGAATCAAACCAAACAAGCCTGTCGACTCCATCAGCGTTCTGTTGTGAAAGCCCGCACTCCAAACCGGTATACATCTTATGCATCTGTGCTGAACTCAAAGGCGCTCTGCATGTCCAGAAGGTGCAAAATCGTCGTCTTGCACAGAGCTTGCTTGCGTCTCTCGAACGCCTAGTCTCTACGATCGTTCCAGGAGAACAGGCGTTGCCGAAAATTTTATGCAAGGGCGCGGCTGGAAGATGCAGGTCATGTATTAAGTCGCTGCAGTAGTTACTCACGCCGGCAAATTGACGAACATGCATCGTTGTTTCCGGTTGAAGCCGGTTTCTGATGGTTCCCACCTTAGCAGGGCCGGGCTCCAGTCCAAAGGCTGATACAGAGTGCTCCAACAACTTGATCCGGCGACGGCTGGGCACCGCCTCCGAGCTTTTCGTTGCCAATCCCGCTGGCCGGAGCCGATCTAAACCAGACTACAGCAAATATAAATGTTCTGGTACAGCCTGTCCGCCCACGATGCTGCCATCTGAGCCTGTCGTGTCGTCCAGGCATGATGATGATGTTATGTAAGCACGATGCCTGCCAGCAGACCACGTAACGCCTCCGACATTAGGCGCGTGATGCAACCGGTGGCCGGCCTGCGTATCGAGCGGCACGTCCAGGAATTCACATAGTTTATCCTCCGTTCTGAACGCGAGTTTTGCCGATTGCTTGGAGCTACGGGGACTTGCCAGTATGGAGAGCTCAAATGCAAAGAAGTGCAATCTGCGAGCCCACTAGACTGTCCAAACATGCTTAAACCGTCGGGAGGTACGTGACTTCATCCACTGTGTTGCGATTGAGTTCTCTTAAATGTAGTGCGAAACGGTAGGATTCGCCGGCTCCGTGTCAGGGCTCTTCACCAGGATCGGTATCGTGTTGCCAACGGCGGAACGTGCACGACAAGGAGGGGGAGTAACCCCATACACTCTGTCCTGTATAAAGCAGGGTCAAATATACCACCCGCTCCGAGAAGGGATCCAAAACGTAGCCAGATGCCAGTCGCGCGACTATCGGCTGTACTGGCGTCCCACCCTGCCTGGCCTCCAGCCGGACACACAAGTCACCAATATGCAGGGCCCGCCTTGCGAAATCGACGCTGAAAGACTTCAATTTTCCTGGAACATCGGTGCCGAGTATCGCTGGGATAGATAAGTGTTTTTGCCACTAGTTCACGGACGTGACTGAGCGCTGCTGGCCCGATCAGAATGCTTGCCGGAGTCTCACCCACACAGCGCAGTTCCACGTCATCCTCTCCGATGGGATGTTGTTCTGCGGACGCCGGTGGCAGAGTGTGTGTGCCTGGCAAAGCCGCTGAAACGCACGTAGCTACTGCACCGGTGTGTCGACCGGCCACGTGCAGTCTGGCTTGCCATTGTGTCCCCTCACGTGCAGTGAGTGAACTGCCGGCTGGGCAGCTGACCAAATGGCCGAGGTGGGACCTCTGAAGCGCGCTGATGGGTCTCGGTTACCACCCGCCACTCGGCAGCAACCCGTTTAGTTGAAAGGGAATATTCCACATTTGAAGATTTTAAAGCAAGCATCATACGTGATGACACCAGCTCACTTATAGCTATTTGTATGCTTTATCTGTTTATCATCATTATTATGTTGCGTCATTATTATATTCTTGTTATTATTATGTTCTTATCATTTTTATTTTCAGTACCAAAAAACGTTTGGACTGACTTGAATGTGGACTGACTGACTGACCTTGGACTGACTGAAAGCGGGATTCAAAACGCAGTGTTAAAAGCTGATGCGTGTGTGTGTACAGCAACGAAGCCTTGCCGAATCTAGGTTGGCACTGAGAGTTGGCTCGAAGGGTGTCAGACTGACGTCAGACTAGTCCGGGGCCGGAACCGTGGATTTAGAAAATCTCACGGCCATAATTTGGAGCTTGTATTGGCCAACCGTGTCAAACATGTATCCGTTATGCAATCTAGAGAAAACTCACCCAACTTACGGTTAATTTATTGTCTTGTGATCTTCATGTTCGGACATTTTTCTGCCCTATGTGACATCTTTGTCAGCCTGAGCGGCGCGGACGGGCCTGCGACTGTCCTCCGTTGGGGTCGTGTGTTGGCAGTGCGTCTGTCGTTCCCGTTTGTGCACGTGCGGCGCGCCGACGCGCGGGACACGCCGGAACTGGCCCGCCTCCTGCTCAGCCTGGCCAGACACGTGGACGAGACGGGTGTCTCTCGCAGGTGGGCGCCACACCGGCCCTCGGCCCGCTTCAGTGCAGGCGAAGGTGACCTCCTCGCGTGTGGCATCTCCGGCATTCGCGCCTCGACTGACCCCCACCTTCGAGGCAGAGGCAGCTACGCGGAGGGAACTGTGATTTTCACGTTCGTGCTGTGCGTTATTGTGAAAATCTCTGGGTGCGAACAGTGTCATTTTTAAAACTTACTCTCACCACACATACCAGCAATTGGACTCAAGTCTAGTAGTTTCGGACGTCAGATTTATACGCCCGGTATTTATAAGAACACGCAACGAACACGAAAACGTCGAGTCTCAGGTGCCGTGCGGGCCCTGTGCCTCTCTCAGCTCTCCGTCCCCTGGCTCGACAGCGTGGCTTCCGAGCTGCAGACGGAGCAGAGGCGGCTGGCGCAGCAGCTGCATGGCTACCACGCCACGCGCCTGCTACACACCCTGCTGGAAGAGATGGCGACCGGACTTTCGGCGGCTGGCGACCACACCGACCACCAGGTGAGGGGAGAACTGACCACACCGATCACCAGGTGGGGGGAGAACTGATCACACCGATCACCAGAGGAGGGGGGGGGGGGGGAACTAACCACACCGATCGCCAGGTGAGGGGATAATTGACCACACCGACCACCAGGTGAGGGGAGAACTGACCACACCGATCACCAGGTGAGGGGAGAACTGATCCCACCGATCACCAGAGGGGGGGGGGGGGAACTAACCACACCGATCACCAGGTGAGGGGATAATTGACCACACCGACCACCAGGTGAGGGGAGAACTGATCACACCGATCACCAGAGGGGGGGGGGGGGGGGAACTAACCACACCGATCACCAGGTGAGAGGATAATTGACCACACCGACCACCAGGTGAGGGGAGAACTGACCACACCGATCACCAGGTGAGGGGAGAACTGATCCCACCGATCACCAGGTGAGGGGTGGGGAGAGCTGACCACACCGACCACCCGGTGGGGGCAGAACTGACCACACCGATCACCAGGTGAGGGGTGGCGAAAACTGACCACACCGACCATCAGGGGGCCCTGACCACACCGACCATCAGGGGGCTCTGACCACGCCGACCATCAGGGGCCCTGACCACACCGACCATCAGGGGCCCTGACCACGCCGACCATCAGGGGCCCTGACCACACCGACCATCAGGGGGCCCTGACCACACCGACCATCAGGGGGCCCTGACCACACCGACCATCAGGGGGCCCTGACCACGCCGACCATCAGGGGGCCCTGACCACACCGACCATCAGGGGGCCCTGACCACACCGACCATCAGGGGGCCCTGACCACACCGACCATCAGGGGGCCCTGACCACACCGACCATCAGGGGGCCCTGACCACACCGACCATCAGGGGCCCTGACCACACCGACGACCGGGTAAGATTGAGAGGGAAGATCGGTCTCACACTGGCCATCGGGGGAAATCGGGGAGCACCCAACACGGCGACCGGCGACCATCGTATGAGATAAAGGAGGTGACGGCCACAAGTGAGGTCAAGAGGCGCGCCGACCATGGTGCAGTGTGGCTCATGCAGGCTGCGTGAGTGTTTCGAATATCCATCACGGCAGTTTCTTGTGTGTACTTGTTTTAGTAATAATTATAAACACTTTCGAGTTGTTCAACGTCTTGGCCCCAGCGGTTTTCAGCGCAGCGTGTTTACTGAGCATTAGTTTCTTATCCTACTCCGATCCCTCACTGAATCTGTCGCTGCATTAAACCGCAGCTAGACTGCCGTCGTTGACCCGGCCTGATCGGCATCGCCAGCTGCGTGAGGCTGTGCGGGAAGGCCTCTCGCTGGCCGAGCTCCACGACGCGCTGCCGCTGGCGGCGCCGGCCGCCGACGGCCGCGCCCGCGAGCACGCTCTGCTCGAGCTGACAGAGGACGAGCTGGCGCCGTCGGCCGAGCACCGTCAGACACTGGGCCGGCTGCCGCGTGCGCTGGACCAGCAGCTGGCGCGGCTGGCGCTCCGATGCGCTCCGCTCCTCCAGCAGGAGCATCAAGGTGCGCCTGGGCGGCCACAGCGGCGGCGGGGGGGGGGGGGGGGGGGGGGGGGGGCACGGGCGATTTGTGAGGTGGCGAGTGAAGTCAAGATTGGAGATCTCAGGCGCTGGTTGAAGAGCTGGGCCGCCGGAAAGCGTTGTTGCGCCTGGCTTAGATATCTATTGTGCGGGTTATGCGGGGAGCACATTGTCGACTTCTTCGTAGAGTCAATGACGATGTACCATTTATATCTTTGGCATGAGCTTAATCAACGAACGTGTCGACCCTGAGAGGAGTGCTACCCACCGTTTGGCGTAGAGACTCCGAATTTTTCTACAGTACCTCAACCGCCTCCCGCGCGGTCAGTGAGCGACCCGACCGGTCGACACCTGTCGGCCCACGCGTCGTTCGTCGACGCCGCACGCCGCACCTCTGCAGGCGGTGCGGAGTCGGCGGCGCTTGGCCCGACCTGAGCCGTCCCCGGTGCCACCAGACGCGGAGCCGGACCCGGAGCGGCTGACCCAGCTGCCCGCCCAGCTGGAGGAGCTGCTGCGCGCGCGCGACGACTCGCAGCGCCGGCTGGACCAGCTGCTGGAGCGGCGCGACGCCCAGCTGCTGCGCCAGAGCCAGCTGATGGGCGCGCAGCTGACCATGCTGCTCAGGCTGGTGCGTGGCAGACGGGCCGAGGGCGTTCCCAGCTGCTCCCGTCAAGAGCTTGGTGCTGGGTGGGATGGGCGATAGTAACACGAACGGGCTAGTCTGTGGAGGGCAGGCCGATCGTCGCAAGCCGACGGGATAGTCCGTAGTCCAGGTGGGGTTACGGGACGGTAGTGCGTGCATTTGGCAAGGACAATGGCAAGCGTGTCTTTGACGAGGCGTAGTCATGACGCATGCCGTGGATGACGGAGGGGTCTGTGTTTATCAATAACCGCGCGGCGAGTGACGAGCGTATTGTTGATGGAGATCCGTAAAACTTGTCACGGCCCTGTGATTGTACAATATTTGCTATATACAAGGACATTCCTGGCGGTGTGCTGCCAATCTTTCCGCTTAACTGCGTTGCGGTGATGTTTTCCCGTTCCTCACATTCAGGCATGCTGTCGACGATCACTTGCGCAACCTCCGTCTCGTTTGGGTACGAAAAATATAGCGGGCATCAGGAGAACGGCAGACGGTACAAATTTGGTGTCATGTCCTCATGGAAGAATAAAATGAAATGTGCGGCAGTGTGCGTGCGTGCGTGCGTGCGTGCGTGCGTGCGTGCGTGCGTGCGTGCGTGCGTGCGTGCGTGCGTGCGCGCGTGCGTGCGCGCGCGCGTGTGTGTGTGTGTGTGTGTGTGTGTGTGTGTGTGTGTGTTTTTATGTTTTTTGCATCGTAATTAGCATAGCTGTCCCATTTCCAGGTAAACAAACACAAGCTGGAACACAAGGTGGATCTTGAGAGAAAAACCATTGACCATTTGTCCAGCAACATACAAGGAATACTGCTGAAAATTAGGTAGCGTGTGGCCAGGCGTTTACAGTGGCCTGACACATTTAGCTGTACAATCCCTTTTTGAAGCTATCTTGCCGCTGTCATAGAATGTGAGGTTGTCAGTGCAGGGTTGAATTGGTCATATGCTGTTAGTCAATTTTGGAGTTTTTACTAAAGTCCCTGCATTGAACAATGATGGCTCGTGAAGCGTGCATTGCTGCACCAGAAAACGCGTACTGATGTTAGATTTTGTGACGCATAACTGCGCACACATCTGCGTGTAAGCTTTACAAACTTCGCCCCCTCTCCTGACTAACGCAGCCCGTGCGTGCAGTGTCCTCTAGTGTGCACGTGCGGTGCGCTGTCCTCTCAGCCGACCAATACCCCGCTCGGCGCATACAAGTCTGATGTACTGCGAGTGACGAGTCTGATGTACTCCGAGTAGGCGGACCGCAGACCTGACCGCGAGCGGTGTCAGCCGGCGGCCGGTGGCGCCTGACCGCGCCTTCCCTCGCCGGCAGGCTGCTGACGCTGCAGATCCAGTGCGAGACGTACACCGAGCCGTGCCTGGCGGCGCTCCGCTCCGCAGCGCGCCACGTGCGCGCCGACAGCGCGCGCCTGGACGGCCGGCTGAGCGCCGCCAAGCAGCAGCTGGCCGCCTACCAGACGGCCGGCCAACAGTTCACGGCGCTGGCGCAACGCTACCGCCAGCTGTGCCGCGAGCTGGACCACCAGCGCTGGCTCATCGCCGAGATGGACGCGCTTGCCGACGACTCCAGCGCGGCCACCGCCGCCGCCGCCGCCGAAGGCGGCGCGGAGCAGATGGACTAGCGGGCGGCGAGAGGACGCGTTCGAAGAGCGGCCGCTCGTGGGGCGGTGTGAGCGCGGTCGGCTGTCACATACGGACGCTGGACACAGCGCTGCGCCGCTGAGGCAATGAGTTGACTCGCTGGTAAGGGGAACGTTGCGCTGCTGTATCGTGTGTGTGCCGTTCGGTTGGCAGAAAACCAGCATGCGATTGTCAGGACGCGGTATCTGAGGTGTGGAAGGCGTGGCCATCATCCATCTTGAATGTCTGCACTGACGCGCGCGTCCAGTTTGACAGTAAAAGGTGAATAGTTCTATCGCGGTGGACAGCGGGAAAGTGGCCAGATGTAATGCTTGGGTGTAAGATGATCGTGTTTCGTCTACTATGCGTGTTTTGGTGTATAATTCATGTGGTTCGAAAAGTGCCCTGCATATGTGTCGTTTGATCAGGGGTGTCACTTAACATACGTGCGGAGGGGCCCGAGCCCCCCGCCCTAATGCTGTTCTGAGCTTCTTCCCCCAGTGCTCCTCTGACTTCCCCTCAGTGCTTGTGAGCAGAGGGAGTACTGGGCCAAATAAATACAGAACAATTGTCTGAACTTTGTGTATGTTAGGTAGCATATACCGTGACACATCACTAACTATAAGGTAAGTTTTGTATCCAGTCGTGTCCTGTAGGTGCCTAGTGTTATTGTCATGCTAACTCCTTCATATGTAAGGTCAGGGTACAAATGGTTGAGAAGTTTTCAAATGATAGTGTCTTGATTGGGACAAACAGCAATTGACTGCAGTATGTGCCAGCTTTTAAAAGTACAGGATGGGCCAGGTAAAACTCAACGCATGTTTTTTTCCAAACAGTTGTAAGTGTATTTGTTGCATGTGTGTCTATGTGTCAAAATTATTTTGGGACCAGAGTCTCGGAGGTCGCCATAAGGGGATACGTGCGCAAAACTTGGATTTGTCCGCCTACGATCCGGGTTTCAAATATATATATATATATATATATATATATATATATATATATATATATATATGTATATATATATATATACAAATAGTCACCGGAATGACATCTGGAAGCGTTGCAGTCGGCATCAGCTTTTGTGAAACTTGAAGTGTGAATTTCCACCTCTTTCCTGAATATTAGAAATTGAAATCTGCACATAATTTACCATTATCGGTGTGTGATTTGGGCACTTATCCATGCATTAACAAGGGCAGTGTTCTTAACATACGTGGCTTTCACAACTAGTTTACACGCAGGTTCTCGACAGACAAGTCTGTCGATAAAGCACGTGCATTTCGGTTGAGGTAAAACAAAACAGGTGCCTTTCCATGCAGCAGTTACGAAAATGGTCCTCAAACTTCCCCAGAATAACTTAAGTAGATGCCCTCCTGTTGAGAATGCCCTTCTGCGCGCATTTCGTTACATACGCTTTGCAAGCCTGCTGTGTTTCTGGGGACGCTGTTCCGAACCTTCGCACCTCTGAAGGGAAGCGACCTTGACCCGCTTCATTTCGAATGCATGGCAAATGAAGCCCCGTAACGTCAATGTCCTGCGCAGCGCAGGGCGAGCATAAAAGCGTTGCTAGTTAAGCTGGCTCTTCGGCGGCCACACGCGATCATACTGATGTACTCATACTGGGTGCACAACGAGTTCACCCACGCAGATGCGCAGCTAGAATCCTTGGTAAGGGGGAGGGGCACAGCACTGACAAAGAGCCCCCTCCTGGTGAACGGCCCCCACCCGAAACATAACCAAATATGACTCACTTGATCTCAAAGGTACGATTTACTCCGTTTTATTTTAGTATGTACACTTTTTACTAGAACAAGCCAGAAGGTACCGAAAGATGACATTCTGTTAGTGCTTTGAAGTCAATAACCTGAAGAAGCTAGGCCTTAAACGATGTCATAGAAAAATCCGCCTTCGCTATTCATTTTGTAATTGCTCAGTGAACTCTTTCTGAATGATAACACTTCGGGACGTTGCCGGAATGTTGCTGTGTTGCACAGACACATTGTGGACGTACATAATGGTTAACGTAGACTGTAGATCAACATGGGGTTATAGATTTGCTTGGACATGCCCAATTATTATGTGTCTGCGTATCTACGACCCTTTTCCAGAATCCGGCTGTGAAAGAAGTACATCGCATGCCTTTGACCATGCGCACTCGCAAGCAGAGCAGAAACCATGATGCCCTGCGCTGCAGTCTCAGCAGGGCGCGCGCTGTTGGTCCCGCGGCTGACAATAGGCGCAGCTCAGCGGGTGGATCAAAACGATATTTTTCCGCAACGGTATCTTGAACGATTGAGGATGTCAATTCGTACGTTTAGAAATTAACCCGTGAGCTTGTTTCACTTAGACATTCTCTTAGACGCATAAGCAGGATTCACGATCGTTCACAGCGCGTCAAACAGGTGCCAAAATTTGACCAGGAAAATAGACGAGCTAAGGTACAATCTCTGTATTTGGATTGCTGTCCCTGTCAACCCACACAGAGAGTAGTTTGAACGGCAAGGATTGATTCAAAAAGACTTTCGGAAACGTTGTTTCACGACGGCCGTTCTCGCGCACCAGGCGCCCGTCGTCCTGTGCTAGATGCTGTGTCCGATGCCCCTCGGTTTAAAGAAAACCGCAACCCCGGTCATCGCTGTTCTCGCTTCTAAGATTGCAAGTACGCATGCTCAAGATTTGCTGGTGTTATTCTTTTCACATGTCGATCCGGGTAAGGACGGACGTCCTCGTTTTTGGCGGCCTTTTTCAGTGTCGGCCCCGTTTTGGACAACTGTACTGAAAACCGAAAAGAAGCTTACCTTTTCCGGGTGGGGGGCCAGTGGTTAGTGCAGTGGGGGCAAAGTAATTTCCCGTTCAGAGGTTAACGCAGGGGTCCATTCCATTACAGCACGGGGTGCCTGACGTTTGTCATGCTGGCGACTGGGGGGCGGGGTCTCCAGGTCGATACGGAAGACATTGTAGGGATCAGTCATACATGCCTTCTTTTGGCTTCACGTCGTAAACTCTCATATTCACTTGTCAAAGGGCCTAACACAAGATGCCCTCTAGCATTCGGGGCCCTTCTCTTATCACTGTCCAGCAAATGCTACCCTGGCCGACTTAAGGCCCCTTACCGACATAGAACCCTCTGTCAGGCACCTTGGGGGCCTGACAGGCACAGGAGCACACATTGTTTCAGGGGCACCGACCGATACGAATCGCGGGTACCCACCTTGTCCCCGCTTGGGAAATCGGCCCCCATGACTTAGACAAACACGGGGCCAATTGCTCGGTGTTGGTGCTCTCTGACCGATATAGAGGCCCGCATTGTCCCAGAGTTTTCCACGTGGGCGCAAGGGGCCCCTTGGCTGATATTTGAGAGCCCAACCCTGCGAGTCGCGGTCCTTTTATGACCTACCGCCAACTCCTCGTGCCCTCCAATCTGACACTTGATCGACGGTGCCGAGGGGCACTTCAGGGCCGTCTGCGGGACCCCACGAACACTACTCCCGGCCGGACCCTTTGCTAATACAGGACCCTTGGCAGGTATTGTAATTCCCAGACCGACACAGGGGGGCCCGCATTGACTCAGAGGCACGGGTGATGTAAATCGCGGGCGCTACCTTATCTCTGCCTGGGAAATGGGCCTATGTCTCAGACCAGAGGCTGAAATAATCTTGTGGCGTATCCGCCTCCACCACAGCGTAATTTCACAAGATAGGCATGACGGGCTGAGAGACCAAATCTAACCATCAATTCACAAAATCGCATGTTTCTCCCCGGATTTGACCCACTTTTCTCTCAACGTTTTGAAGTTGAAGCCACCGCCCCAACGGAAAAGGAAACTCCATCCCAGCACCAATGAGCTTTCCCGCTCTTTTTTGACGGAAGCTGTTGACGTTGGGCATCATTATCAGTTTGTTTGGAGTTTTTCGTCGGAACCAGGTTTCGGCAATGGCGTAGGGTCGATGTTATATGGCTTCAGATGTTCTTAAAAATGTACAGCCTTGGGTGTAAAGAGCTCGAGTTGATGTGTGAGACTATTAAAGGCTGCAACGGAAACCCCCAGCTGGTAGCCGCAAGACGGGTGCAGGCACCAACTCAGTGCTCGCACCAGGTATGTTGTCGGGGAATTACTGCCGTTGATTAGTCTGTGGTGTTGATCGCCAAGTTGTGGTAACTGTTCCATCGAGTATTTATGGCTAAGTTGGAGGTCAGCACATTTCAACGGTTCTTCCGGATGTAAACGGCTAGTGACCGTCTCGCGTTTTTGGGAGTCCCAGCTCCGACCAGTTTGTTTTCACTTTATGCTTTCGAAACCAAATCACGCAACTTGCTGCAGTCTAGAGCATGAAGCAACACAATAGCACAAAACGGACATTAGCACAAAAGTAAACAGTAGTGTTAGGCAGTAGTATTAGCCCTATTCCCCGGAGAAAAACCAAGAGAATGGAGATAGAGATACGTTGATATTTTGGCAACAGGCCTTTGTCGTAACGAATAGCAGACGTGCATGCATTCCTGCCTTTCCTTTTGATAAATGCATGTTGTTGAAATATTAAGCATCTACATCTCCATTTCCAGCTTTTTTCTCCGAGGAATAAGTCTATTATTGCCTTCCTATCTATACGCATAATGCTCCTTGCAAATGCACTTAACAACTTGCGTAAAAGACAGCTCAAATGAGGTTTGAATGGGCTGCCTCTCCGCAACAAAACGACTTGGAATCCAACAACATTGCCAGCTCTTTGATTCCGACTTTGAGGATGCAAACTGCAACGGCCGAAATCCGGGGAAATCGGTTTTTGGGAGCAGGGGTCTACCTTTACGACTGAGCCCCCCCCCCCTTTTAAAAAGTGACACTCCTGCATTTGATGCGTATATCCTTCCGACGCACTCGCGATATGCATACGCTCATTCATGGGTCCTCTAAAATGGTCTAGGGCCCATCCAATTCCCTGTCACTTGCTTGGGGCTCTACGCTTTTGTCGGGGGCCCCATCTGTTAACCTGCTTTGGCACAC